TATGAATTGATTTAGTTGTCCATTTATATGACAGTGTTTGAATGATGTTTGAATTGATATATAAATTGATGTATGTATGAAGTCTGATTACTAATTGTAAGGGCATGACATTACAATTTTATTTTGTTGGCTTTTTTATATAAATCTTTCTTCAATTATTGATTATGTATGAAGTCTGATTACTGTCTGGATGAAATATGTATGAAGTCTGATTACAACTAGTATGAACATGATATCACATTTTTGATTTATTATCGTTTTAGTATGACAACTATCATATTTTTTTTTCATATGTATGAACTTTGTACGAACTATGTATGAACTATTTCAACAAGAGTTTTACTGTACAATTATATGTTTAAAACTTGTTTCATATATATGCTTTTTGTATGAACTATGTAGGATTCTTGTTTAACTCTTTATTAGTATAGGAATGAAATTTGAAAACGGACACAAAATGTGTTCCAATATTATTTCTAGTTGGACAATATTAAGAAATTACAATTACTTAAATATTAATTATACCAAATTCATTCCATAAAATAAAACATGTTGTGTAACAAAAATTAAAATCATGAAATTATTTTTTAACAGGATAATTTGAACATATCTTCATGTTATGTCCAACTTGATGACATCTACTACAAGTAACCTTTGACCTTTTGAATTTCACATTGGCAAACCTCTTCCATCGTTCAACATGCAATTTTCTAACTGATCTACTTGGATCGGATGCCATCAATTTAGGCTTTAAAATATAACTGGTATATCCCACGTACTTTCGCAGGGGATAGATTCAACAGGGATGACATATGCACCTCTGATATTCTTCAGGCTATAAAATGCAGAAGAGAAATATGCTTCATGCAAGTATCCTGTATCTAAGAACTGCAATTACACGAATGGTGAAATCTCCCGCAACTACACACCTTATGTTTAAATGTACTATGTACTTCTTTGGTCTTTCAACAACAACATACATATCAACCGTTGTGGTATCACCTAACATGAAAAATCAATGCTCATTAAAAACAGTTCCAAAAAAATATGCCATTAAAAAATAATATAAAAATATTTAATTATTAAAATAATATACACTTCATATTATAAATGTCAAAAAAAATAATGCGAACATTGTTTTACAAATCAGAAACAAACAAATAAACTAGCATTTCATATTTCATACCATATTAATATGCAATTCAGGCAACTAACATCATGTTGATCAATTTTATACGATTTTTCACCAAAAATTACATTAATATTACACATATCCACAAACAACAAAAAAAATTATAAAACAAAAAAATAAATATCATACAATCTTATAACACTCTCAATACAATGAATTAACAGAGATTACTAAAATAAATCAGATAACTATAACAAATACCAACATAACGGATCTCATCTGTCACCATGTTTAATTAATATTGTAAGTTATTGTCCATCAAAATAAATCACAATTTTTTCACATAAAAAAAATCCAATCTAGAAAAAAAGGGAGTAAAAATTCTGCAAACAGGAGAGTGAAAAACGTGATAGAGAGAAAGAAAGAAAAAAAATCATGTTTTAATTTGATTTAAATTAATTTGAGCATTTTAAGAAAACTGAATAATATAAATCTTTTTGGAATTCCTTAATATGTGCTTATTTGTTAATTATCTATTATTAATTAAAATTAATTCAAATCCCACAATTGGTGCTACTTACCAATTAATACATAAACGTGTTTTACCTTTTTATCTTATTTAAAAATAAAATAAAATTTAACTGTAAAAATAAAAATAAATATTTAAATATATTAATTAATATTTAAATAATTACTTATAGTTTATTTTTAATTAAATATATTTTAATTGATATGTTACAACTCGATAATAATATGCTATAAGTGATTTATTTTTAAAAAATATGTTTATAACTCGATATATATCCTTAAATGTGTATGAGGTGTTATTTTTATAAGGGAAAATTGTATAAAATAGCAAACTAATAATCTAAATTAAATAGAATAGCTAGAGTTTGATTTAATTGTGCTCCATAGCAAACATTATCTAAAATTTACCAGTGTCTCTCTCCCAGGAATCTCGCTCGCCACTCTCCATTCTCGCTCGCCTCTCTCGCTTTATACACAGAAGTGTATAATTCTGTTTCTGTTTTGTATAAAGCGAGAGAAAATTGTATATACACATGCAAAAATGTATATCTTCATGTTATACACTTAATTATACAATTTACAAACATTTTACTTCAAAAATTGCAGAGAAAAAGGCCAACAAATTATACAATTGCGAATTATACAATTGCAGTGAAATACAATTTTCTCTAGCTTTATACAACAGAAGTGTATATATTGCGTTTCTGTTTTTGTATAAAGCGAGAAAAACATATATCTTTTTGCTATAAACTTATAATTATGCAATATACATACATTTTAATTCAATTCAACTATATGCAAAACAAATTATACAATTGCAGCGAAATAGGCCAGCGAATTATACAATTTAGGCCAGCGAATTATACACTTGTATATGTATAGCGAATTATACAGTTTTTATGTTGGCTTTGGAGCGCAATTATGCATAGTTTGCTATATTATACAAATATGAATTTTTTGTTTGCTATATGTGAAAGTTGCCCTTTTTATAAATCCGGTCCAGCTCCATCCCCTTTTATTTCCAATCTTGTCAGCCTAACTTTTTTCAAGGGAAATTTTTTAAAATGTCAATATTTTAACATTTAAGAGAGCTCATTAGCAACACTTTCAATATTTAGTAAAAATGTCAAATTTTAGTTTGTTATGTATTTTATTTATGTTTTTATTATTTGTTTTTATTTAAAGAATATAATTATTTAATAACAAAAGGGAGAAAATCAAGGGAGATAATATTTCAAATAAAAGATAAGGATCACTTAATTTTCTCATAAGTTACATTTTCAAAT